ATTCTCACTTGAGGAAAATTGTTCCCACTGACGCGCATCATTCAGCAGGGCAGGCATAAGCAAAAGATCTTCTTCATATACCGACTGCTTGTACTTCTTGGCTAGTTTACTCCTCCAGTTTGGCTCACTAAGAAACCTGGTAAATGGTGGGCGTGACTCTGTGCTCTCTGTCTTTGTTGGTACAACCTCTGTCTCCATGTCCAAAGAATGGACTTTTTGAACTGCAGGTTTGTCATCAAGATCCGCTAATGGCTCTGGTTCAGAGAGTCTTTCCTGGTGTTCAGTAACAGCTTCCTCCTCCCATGGTATAGGTGTCCTGTGTCTAACAGGGGTAGCAGGCAGTGAGACAGCGTTTCGCACAGGACTTTTAGGTGCAGGTGTACTCCTTCCACTAAAAATTCCTTCATAATGCTCTTGCAGCTTACCAACATCTTTTTCTTTCCGAGACACCTGTTTAATCTTCTCAGCATACACCTTGTTCTTCAACTTCTCCAGTTTTTCTTCACTCTTCTTGTCAACATTCAGACCGCAATGCAGCTTGGTGTAGAAACTGTGGAGATCGTCTATATTCAGCTCTCTGTTCTTGAAGTCTCTCTCCTTGTCCACAGACCAGCGCAGTTCATCAAAGTTTTCATTGACAAAGGTCTGTCCATGTTCAGCTGCCATTTCCATCTCCATGTAGAGATGAAGAGTGCTGTAGAACTTCTCCAGTTGCCTATTGCTTGGTAAGTACTTCTCTGCCAGGGTGTCACCCTTTTTCTTCTCACTTTCATCCATGTGTTTGTTGAGGTTGGAGTAGAAGTTGACCAGGTTCTGGTAGCTCTTGGTGCGCTGTGAGGCTTGTTGAAGACCAGCAGCGTACTTATGATAGGACTCCTGGTCCGCTGCAGGAGAGCGGACGACTCCTGGAGAGGATCCAGAGGACGTTGCAGACCGTTGGTAGATTGGTTTCCTACTCTGTCCATCTCCGTCAGCGTCGCTACCAAGAGACCTGGGAGCAGAGGAGGATCTCTTGTGTTTGACCTTCTCTCTACTGCTATCGATGCGGTACTGGATACGACTTGGTCTTGATGGGCCTCTGTAAGGAGCTTTGTCATCATCCTCATCGTTATCTTGATTTGTTGGCATCACTGGCATTGGGCTGCCCCCAACATCAAGACGAGGTTTCCTAAACACACCAGGATTTGGTATGATCCTGGATTCATTGAAGGCACTATACTCCACAGGGCAATATGAGGATATCATCAAAGTGGTCTCTGTTTCACCCCTCGCAGGTTTTGCAATCATTCTGAATCTTTCTGATAAACCTGCTTCCATTTCATTCTGGTTCAGCAAGCAATTAACAATGTCTTTCTCTGTTACATCACAGCAGACGCTTTCTGCTAGGGCTGAGGATGTAGACATGCATGTTGGAGTTTTAACTCCACCCCAAACCTCTGCACTGTCAACTCTGCTACCTACATGTATGTAATCACTGCACCCTTTCACACACACAGCGGAACTATATGTGGGACTAAGGAAACCTGATACACCATCTACTACTTTCTGATATCCTACCACATGCATTTGGAGATTTGGGGAGCTGTTAGTAGGAAAAGAAATATCTGTGGCTGCATGTGTGAGAGTAAAAGAAGTGGTAAAAACATATGTTAAGATTAATAGTGATGTTATATTGAATTGAAAGCGAGATAGGTATGCATGATCTAAATACTAGGGTCATTTCATGAATGGTATGGGTTACTTTTACTACAATTTAATCTTATAAGTGCATGGAATCTATAAAGCAGTGCCTCATTAATGTTTTAATATTGAATAATGTTTAACGTGTTAACAACAGTCCTATATAGAATTAGTATTTACAATATGGATTATATATATGTATATTTACAAAATGGATCATTTATGGGATGAATAAGCATGATGGCAGAAAATTTAATGCATAACTGTTCATTGAAATCCAATTTCTCTTCAAGGTTATCACTGAATAGATGGCATAATATCTAATTCAAAATCTGAATTTCATTTATCGGCTACTATTACTAATATGAAGAAATTTTTAACATAGATGGTGTCATATCATTGAAAAGAGATCAACAGTGAGTACAATGAATACAATGCTTGTCATAGTGTAGATTAGAAAGGTTATATAAGGGTGATAACACTTGTCTGTCTATTGAAAACGATATATGTGATTATGATGGGCTTTACAAAAGAAATTGAGAATTAATAAAAAACAGAAATAACAAATTTTGAAAACACATTCTCTAAGCGGGTCTAATGATAAAGAAAACCAACTTTTATTCAACAAGTAACTCTTTTTGAAGTTATCTATTTATTATAATATTTGAAGAGTTCATGGTAGTGTACTTTCTAAGATGAAATATGGTCTAATATTAATTAACAATTTTCACAAATAACCCAACAGCATACTTTTGCTTCATCTTTACCATTCCAACAATTTATGTTTGCTCACTTAAACGATATTAACTTGTGCTTTGAACTACATTCTATTCATGGAAATATCTTTCAGCACTATTAAACTAGTACCTATAGATTTCATTCAAGTGTCACACAATGTAGTAAATCATCCTCACCTCATAGTTTTACTCACAAAGCACAATAATTCAATTGCATGTAGAAGACTTTATACTTTCAAGAATCACCTTAAGTACATATTCCATAGCCTAGTGCATCACTTATGCAAATATGACTGCACATTATATAATTGAAATATCAAGTCTATAGGTAATACAATACAATATTGGAATCGCAAACCCTAAGGTTGATTTGTATTTTTTCTTTTTAACTAAGGATACAACTTGCCTAAGGGTTCTCCGTAGATACATGTACATGTTTACTATAGTCAAAATATGAGCTTCAAGTATTACTGCTTCAAAGAAATACTGCAAGTTGAAAAACACTCTTAGTAACCATTAATGCAACACTGGAGTAGACTAGTAGATGCACCCAAACATGCTCACAAAAATTAGATTGCGCATGAACTTGGGTTCCATAGCCACGGTCCTATATTATACTTCTCTTTTCCGTCATACTCCTTACAAAATCATCAACCTACATGTACATGTACAGAAATATGTCAGGTAAAGTTGTTGTCATTCAAGTGGTTGTATACACTCTAGCTACACACAAATTGTTTTGAAGGTGATTGGTACCCTTCAAGTAATTTCCATTGTCTTGTAATCTCAAGAGAAAATAAAAGGCAAGTTTCTACTTCATCCTGACCATGCCATGGACCAGTGATGGCTCGGTGGTAGAGTCGCTGCCCAGCAAGCAGTAGATGGTAGGTTCAAATCCCGCTGGTTCCAAGATTTTTTTCTGACTTGTTTTCCAATTACAGATTGATCAATCGATCTTTTTTACTGGGTGTAAGCCACAAATATGTTTAAACAATTTAAATTTCTCCCAGAAAGCATTACATTTATAAAAAGGGAAGTTGTTGGAAGATTAAGAAGACAGTTCAGGCAGAACAAGACTATGCAATAGGTAATCTCATGCTTTATCTAAACATGCTCTACACACATGGGGTAGACAGGCAATAATCACTCTGACAAACTGGATTAAAAAAACCTCTCATGGAATCATCGTTGTTCATAATCTAAAGTATCTATATCTCCTGAAGAATGTTAAACTTTAACTTATTTTACTTTCTTTCTTGAATTACTTGATGGTCATATGCCAACAATTATACAATTTCCACACAACTGCACCAGGAGCGTCATTTTTGACAGACATGGCCCATTATAAATGTTCACTATTATTATTATTATTAAGTGTTACTCCTATTCTTTGACTTGATATTTAATTTATATACATGAACTTCAATTTATTTCAATATCCATTTCAACATTCTTAATGACCTACTAATGTTTTTCACGATTTGTGTTAGAATCTTGATTTTATCTTCTAAACTGATCTAATAGTTATATCAGTTATTTCATACTTGTTTAATCATTTGTCAATGTTTATAATCACAATCCAATCCAATCCAGGTTTTTATAAAGCGCCAATATCTAGTTGCCTAATCAAAGGCGCTGATGAGACTGAAAAACTACGAACATTTTCTGTTCATGATTCTAACTGGAAAAGACAAAAAAGCAGTGACTTATTGTAAGCAATTTGAAATGGGTAGAACAATTAATTCTTCGTAAGGCTCTCTTCTATTAGAATTTGTTTAATTTTGATTTAAAGAAATATTCTTTGACTAATTCTAAAAATTTACAATATACATCAACCTCCAATGTGCTACTTTAGAAAACAAAATTATTCAAACAAATCTTTCAGGTAACAGTCTTTCACTGCAGAACTATACTGTTTGCCTTCTTCTTTAATTATTGGAACTCATCTTTTAATTGACTTTGAACAACTTGCTCTTTCTCCACTACATGAAACTTAAAATTCCTTTCCCCAAACGACAAGATCACATGGTATCCTGAAGCCTGAGCGCATGTTAACAGACCTAGACCTGCAAAGTGGTTATCCTCATATCCAGTTCACATTGCCAAAGAGCACTTTCATTCAATATGAAAACGAATAATGGCAGCGCGGCACGCAGCCTCTTCAAACAGCTTTCACCCATGACTGTGTAATGTATATCTCTCCTGACGTTCACTTGCTAGATGCACATGCAGAAATGTTTGACTTTCTAAAGGTTGTTGATACAGTCCACCCTGTCATACTGCCACTTTTCTTACCAGAATAGCATTTTTTCATAATGATTGAATTATTTCACATAAAAACTGGTACTGCCATAATCTAAATCAGCTTTCATATTTAAAAAAAAAAAAAAAAAAAAAAAAAAACTGGTTCTCCGAAAGAAACGGAGTACAACATAAAATTGTTTGTAGATACAAAAATTAAAGCCAATCCCATAAACACAAGAAACGTACAGTGTGAGAGCAACACGGTAAGCTGGGTTGGCTTTGAAAGTTCATGTCAGGATTCAGAGGGAAATATATTACTGGGTGTGGTTATTTGCTTACCTCTACGAGCCTTTGGAGCACCGAAGCCGAAACCAGATGTATTGGGCAGCTCACCAGATTTGACGAAGGTATGATAGCCCTTCCTAGCTTCATCATCAGAAGCATAGCCCGAGCCTGAGCCAGGAGCAGATCCACGCCGGCTAGTCAGGCAAAGAAAAGCAGTTTGTGCTTTGTTTACGGTTACAGATTAGAGGAAGATATAAAACCTTTCCATACGATGCACAGCAAATCTCAATTATTATTATCCATATAAGGCTTCCGAGTGCTACAATAAATCAGTGTATTCAATATCTTTAGCGCAGTACCTGGATGACCGACCAATATAGTCTTTGTATTGCTCAGTCATCCAAGAACTTCAACTATTGATATCATAATGATATGACACAAAAACAAAGCCATATTTACTGAGGTAAGTCAAATTTTGTTATTTCGCTAGTCAGACTAATACAGATAATAATAATAAATTGTATGGCTATGTTTTCGTGTGATACAAGATGAAGAATATATTACTTTCACTAAGACAATATTAGACTCTTCTTTGACTCGTCCAATATTGTTGCAAATGACAGACAGAAATGTAGCTGGTGATTGCTTCATTTTAGTAGCCTTCATGTAATAATATGTGTAAATATTTTCATTCTAAAGAAGATGCCAGATTGAAACAGAGTGAAAAAAACAATACTTACCCTCCTTCATAATAAAGTAGACCATCTTTCTTTGCTTGGACCTAGAAAAATAAAGAAAAAGTTTCATGTATTAAAGAAAGAAGCAGGTCTTCTGAATGTGCAAGCCTTGCTCACATTAAGTGGGTAACATTCAGCCATTGACTACTGAATTCTCTATGTTCCATAGGCTTTAATGCCTTAGTCACACCGCCAAACCAACAGCACAAGACCAACCGATTCTTTCCATCCGGGGTAATGTCATGTGTTTCTTTGGTCTATTGTTGGTGTGATGTCAGTCTTGTATGTGTGACAGGGATGTCAAATAGAACCCATTGGTTCACATAGGAAACCTGGGGAGTGTTTCACAAAGACTAAGATCAACTTTAAGTTGGACTTAAATATGGCAGGCCGTTCATGCCACTGTTTGCTCTCACCATTTACTGGCATTGGTCTCTCAAGGGACGTACAAATCATGGTCACAAATCTTTTATCTGAGGATCATAATGGTGAGAGCAGCCAGTGGCATGAACAGCCTGCCATAGTTAAGTCCAACTTAAAGTTGATCTTAGTCTTTGTGAAACACTCCCCATGAGTTCAATGACTCATTAAAGTGATTACCGGGAGTAACACAAAAACTAAATTGATGTGTTTGATTACATATACAAATTTGGAATAAGATAATATATTTAGATGCAAACCTGAGGGCTTTAGAGCTACTTACACTTTTCTCATGAGCTGCTAGGGCTGACTTTCCTGGTACAAAGTTCTGTATTCTACCCGGCTGTACACGATATGAAGGTGTGTTCTTAACCACTGTCTCTGGTTCAGTATTCCTGAGGAAACAACAGTAACAGTCAATATAACATGATGACGTGGATCCTAATCAAATGATTGGTTGAGAGTGTACACGTGACCAAGCATTATCAAATGCTTATGACCAGTCAAAATAGTAAAATCATATTATAAAACATCATATTATAAAACAAATAAAACATAATCTTAGAAAACAAAAAATACACATCATTTTGTTTGGGCATTACTAAAATTACCCACACTCAGTACCTTCAAAACAGTCCAAACACCCTCAGCTATCACCTTGGGCGTGTTCCACAGGTACCTTGTGTGGGTGATTCTTATTATATTCCACATACAAAGAATCTTGCGCTACAATTGGTCAAAAGTAAATCATGTGATGAAAGATAGTTCGCCCATCATTGATGGGAGAAGGGAAGTTTGTTGCATCTTACTTATGTATTATTTGTATAGTTTGATGATTTTAAATAAAAATATTTCATTAATGAGGTTCTAATGGATTTGATAAATGAAAGTTGAGTAAGATTTACAACAACAAAATCTTGAAGTTATCATCTTCTTATACACATGAGGACACAGTACATGTGTAGGATTTTACTACTTTTGCACTATATATAAAATGGCCCTTTTCATTATCAATAACAACACACATACCTAAAAATTTGTCACTGTTTTGTTTTCTAAAATACAATTTACAAGAGCACTGTTACTAATATTAGAATAAAAAACTCTGACAGTACCTTAATTGATTCCCAGCTGATTTGATTTCATTAAAATCATTCATAGACTGTAAAAATTATGCATAATGAAGATGAAAATGTAGATATTGAAGAGTCAAGTTCTTCAAGGAATACGACTCACCTAGGATCTTCTTTCTTCCAGTCATCTGCCATGTGATAGGGGATTAAAAAAAAGCTTTATTAATATTTTAAAATGAGCAAGGTTTTCCTGATTCTCAATTATGTTTAATTTGTAGTAGCCTACATTGAATCTTTATTGTCTTGTCAAGCTAGACTGCAATGTCCACCCATTAATTTTCCTCCAAAATGGACAAGATTATCATTTGGTAAATTTGAGGGGTAATATATTTTTTCATGTATATCATTTTATTTACACAACTTTTGCAACATATCAATTTAGAAGCATCATCAACCCAATCATCAAAGCAAATGCTTTAAATAATGTGAGTAAATGAACATACAACATATTAGATATAATCAAATCCCGGTCACAATTTGGTAAATTTGTACTTTCAATTCGGACTGGCTTATGACAATAGCCTGACTTAAAGTAAAATCAGTTTCATCAAGAGTTTGGTTACCGGTAGTCAACATTTCACAAGTATGGTGATAAATAGAGTTTTTCCACTAATAATGAACACACATCACTAGTTATAGATGTGCATCCACCGGTTATGAATATACATCCATTGGTTACGAATATATATCACTAGTTATAAATGTGCATCACTAGCTATAAATGTTCATCACTAGTTATAAATGTGCATCCACTGGTTATGAATATGCATCAACTGGTTAAGAATATGCATTCACCAAACATGCAGATAGGGCCAAAGGTCATGCATGCCCATCACCATCTATTGCTAGAGAGCAGATAAGGCTTGTTAGAAGGGTATAAAACAGAAAACTATAATCTAACAAAAAAAGTGGTTCAAAACAAATATCCTGTAGGGTATTAAACAACAAAATTTGAAACGTAAATGTATATGAGAAAACTATTTCTAAATTACCTTTTTCATTAGTCTGCTGAGTTTGTATTTCATGTTTCTCTTCACATTCTGTAATTTTGTAAGCGTTATTGTACCTTTTGATTTTAGCACTCCTAAATACCTGATATTGTTATTATTAGCATCCTTATTAAACATCAGAGAGCACTTTGTGGTACAAAATCATCTACATTTCTACTTGTAAGTTTGTTATCAATTTCCAAATGCACATAATACATATAAAGGTTTATATAGGCCAGGCTTTAACCCCATCCCCATGTAAGTGCATAGAATGTGTCTGCCTGTTTATGGAATGCCAAATATCAACTCTTTATTCTGAACAATTCATTGTTATCTTTTTAATACATGAGAATACAACAAAATTGTGGTGCTGAACCAAAAAAAACTTTTTCATTCCGTGACCCAATGACGTTAATATTTATTTTTATTTATTTGTTATTATTTTGTTAAAAACATAACTTAAACGTTGACACTTCTATAGATCCAGTCTGTGAACTGAGTTATGCAAGGTGACTATTAAAGCCCCACCGCACTAGTTTAGCCAGGAGGGATTAGACCACCCTGCATGGTCACTGACAGGTAGTTATCTCATCAAATCAGCTCTCTATTAACATAAGACAAAGAGGATCATGGGGGACCAATGGTCACCAATTAGGCATTGTTTGCTATATAGAGGGCGCAAGTAGCTCGAAGAAGTGCAGTGGGGCTTTAAAAGAACTAAGCTACGGTATGCTATAATCTAAACTACTAATCTAAACATTGCACACTGATCTCACCTTTGGCAGGTGCATGCATTACATCACTCTCACTCATAAACACGCTATCAGAGCTGTCATCTACATAACAAAGGGAAATAAAACAATAGCATGAAGCAAGCCACCAATATAATCTAGCTTCACTACAAGTAGGGAACATAAATCATGCCTTTAGTGCAAGAAGGTGCTTTCGTGTAATCATAAAAAGTTTTTAATCTTTAGTCTTAATACAAAGATGAAATCGGTGTAAGTAGAAAATGGGTCATTTGATTTGAAAATTTTGAGACTAAATTATTTTTAAGTACCATAATAACTGTTTTCTTCCTTAAAAATTACTCTGTTTACTGTAACAGCATTTGTAAAATATGACAGATATACATGTATGTGCATACTTTAATTTTCATTAATTAGCAATAAACTTATTGGTAAGCTTTCTTTTTTATTCAGAACAAAGACGAAATAAATATCTAAATCTGGCACAAAATCCACATTTACAGTTTTGGCAAATCATAATACGTTCAATACTTTTCAGTGAATATAAGCAATATTTGCAATAAAAGGAACTTAAGTAAAATGGGAATGACCTTTTGCTTAAAATCTACGCTATCAATGCTGTGAAGATTAAAAATCATTTTATATTAAGCAATATTGATTTTCCAGCTGGATTAAATGAACCCGAACATGGTTTAGATATGGTGTCAGATATCAATGAACTTCTGCCAAACAGAACATAAAGCTTAGCAGTTTTTAAAAAACAACATTAAACAAATATGCAAAAGAGAAGGTACCAAAGGGGAAACTGAAAGCCTACAATCACTCCAAAAATTCGAAATAATAATGTAGAAATAAAAAAAAAGAGGACAAATTTAGTATTAGTTCATGGCAGAGGGGTAACACAAACACAAAATGAATGCAACAAGTAACAAGCACAAGATTCACAGAAACAAACACAAACCATAACACAGTCATATGTGCAATCTTAAATGAAACATATTTTCTTGCTTAGGATTAATTTGATCAAAAGCTTAACCCAAAGGCCTTTAAAAAAACGTAAGTTTTAAATAATTTAAACAATTATTTTTGAAGCAATTAAAAAAAAAATAGAGATATGTCAAGAGAAAAATTAAAAAAAGAGGCTGCAAGAATCTTTTCCTCCACCACCAGTTTTTTTTTTAGATCACAGCAATTTACTTCAAGGTTAATGTCTACACATCTTGCTAATTTAGCTTTAGTATTCATGTTCAAATTTTACTTGAAATACAATTGATAAAGGATATACCATTCAATGATTCAGTTCTTCTACAACTCAAGATGCTAGCAAGCTAGTATTGATCAAGGAAAGGTATCGGATGCCTGGCAAAAAGACTTTACTCCGTGTGATTAGCTTAACTGCCTGGAAGAAGGATGCTTAATAACAGCTTTGATTTATTGCAATGTATAGGTACTATTGATGATGAGATACCAAAGCTTTTTTGTATTGCACTCATCATAATGGTCAATGCTATTCTTCAATTTTGCAGTACCTCTCATCTATTCAACATTTTGGAGAATTTGTTTCTTCTTCTCTGGGTTTGCATACAATCCATTCTGAAATATCGGAGAGTTTCAAGCAAAATAGTAACCATTTGTTTGCAAATGTGTTGAGCGAAATTTAGCAATATATTACACACATAAATTTCCATCATTAGAAATTTGCGTTCTTTTTGTTACAGACTACTCAACTCAATTTACAGGTAAACTGAGTTGCAATTATAATTTGAAATGGTAAAAAATGTGATTTATATTTTGGTCCAAAGACTCTACAACACAATATTTCCAGTCAGTTTAACTATCAATACAAGCATCTATAGACATACAGCCTTCAGTCATTAACTAATGTAACACTGAATGTGTATAACTCACTTACCATTATCTTTTGATTTATATACGGAGCAAGTTTGAGTGAACATTATTGTATTCCGTATGAATGGTGAATACAAAATGAATGGGAGAACAAAAAAATTGTCTTCAGTCAACACTTGGTATCATCAAGGGTTATTATACAATGTAGTTGATATCTTAAATCCTATCTACTGGTAAATGCTTCCATTCTTATTAAGATACTAAACAAAGCCCATATGGATAACAACATTTTGACTTATGCCGTCCACGCAGGCCAGGGGCCTTGTGATGGCTTCTGTATGGTGATGATATAAACAACATTTTATATTTCAAAATTACAGCGATCCCGATAATAATTTTTTCTTCAACTTTAAAGAGATGTATATTTGTACAAGTTACATGAATTTTGCAATTGATGTCTAAATGAATTTTCAAAAAATCCTTTTTTCAATTTCCCAAATGGCTGCACAATCAACAACTCTTTTTTATTTGATATTCAAATATATTATTAGCAAATTAATAGTACAACATATAAACAAGATTTCACATTGAGAAACTTAATTATTTACAATACTTTCACTGAAGACTGGGACAAATGAATTGCCATGAGATGTATGGAAAGCTGCTTGTGTTAAACCACATGGACAAAAATGAAGCTGATGGATTATGGTAAAGCTAAAAATGACTCCAACTATAAAATATTTGTATAACCTTCTACATTCTGTGAGATTGAAATATCATCACTATCATCTGGAAGAAAGAAAATAGATGAAAGGAGAAGGGAGGTAGATGGCAACAATATGGAAGGGTGAGAATACTTTACCAGTTGACTAAGTTAAAACTTGGTACACAATTATTAATAAGCTACTTTATACCATCATTCTCTACATGTATGTGTATCATTTTACTATCAGATAGTATTTTGTAAATACACCCTCTTACTCATTCATTTGTATATAAATCCATTAAGATCAATGTATAGCATGACATCATGGAATATACTTTTAATTATTTTACCTACATATACACCAGTTATGTGAACTGCTGAATAACATGTTGTATTTCATGTACCTCACACACAACATTTAACTAGAGTCATGTTACAATTTTATGAAAGGGCATAATATTCCTTACTTGGCTTTTAGCTTTAAATTCAATGGTGGGTTGCAAATTATTAATATCTAAATTAATATCACATGCTTTCTGTCTAATTACTTTTAAAACTCATTAGAAAATCGAACTTTTGCTGAACAAATTCAAAAACTTAAAAAGTGTTGGTGTTGTCAAACCTTGGTGCAATGCCATAACAGTGATATTTTATTTCAAATGAAAAAGCATTGTGCAACTCATTCTATAACAATACCAGACCATGCTTTAAATTAAACTGCCTTATGCATTCTTATTTAAGAAAACATCAGTGTAAAATGTAAAATGTAAACACCAGATGCTCAGCATTTTAGTGATTTAGTTAGTAACAAAAATAAGAAACAAGACAGATGTGACTTTATCTCCTATATACCTCCACCCTTAATTCAGTATAGGAAATGACCTTTAGTGGGTGGAGGCATAACAAAGTGAACTGGCCGAGTGCGATTGAGGGTGGTAACATAGATTAAGAAGAGGGGAGGTGGGGATAATGTCTGACATGGTTGGAATGCTATTGGATACCATGCTGCAAATAAATGTACAACACTAGGTCACCAGACCAAATGCTGGAGCACCCTAGAAATAGATGTAGGTTTTCGGAAGGGGATTACTAGGTATGGGATAGGAATAAGAGACATTTAAGAGAGGAGGCTGCATGTGATATCTTACCTTCATCTCTGTCTTGTTTATGAATAGACTTGAACATTTCCTTGTACCAGTCGTGTCTGTTGTCTTCTTTTACATGCTACCAAAAACAAAAAACAAATGGAAGAAAGTAGGTTATCCATAAAATACGTTGCTTGCTCTATGCGTACATCAACAGCATTATCTTCAATGTCTTTATATTGTGTTTATCGCTGTCTTTAGTGATATCTTTAACTAATATGTACTCAGTATTATGAATTATAATATTCAGGAGAATTTTTTGAACAAGGCCACTAAGGGCTTTTCCTTTGTTCTCCTATTTCATTTGAAGTTATAAACTGAACATTCTCTGCCTTAGCATGTATGTATATATGTACTTGTATGCTTATTTGCTTTTGCTGTGTTTGTTATTAAAATGAAATTAATAAACGAACGAATATCTGGCAAAGACAAGACAGGAAGCAAAGAGGCCATGACCAGAAACTCCAAGTGCCATATGCTCGGACATAAGTTCTTCAAAGGAGCTTCTTTCCAGATAACACCAGGCTCTGGAACTCACTACCGCAGGTCGCCGTCACCTATACCTCTCTGCCAAGCTTTAAGAGAGAGGTACTCAAGATCCAGCTCTGTTAAGCTACGGATGTCTTTTCAGCTGCACATAGTTCATTGTAGATCTTTTATTGAGACACTGTATATACACCTGCTCAGCACCTACATCAGTACAAGAATACACCCGACGGTGGCCTGTACTTATAGCGAAGAAAAAGAAGAAGAATCAAGCAATGGACCAACCTGTCTCAGACCTAGTGGTAATCCATCTTTGTCCCTTGGGCCGATACCCTCGTAGTTTGGTGCTTCATGTTTCACCACAGTGGATGTTTTTCTTGTCACACCTTGTACTGGGTAGAAAGTATCGGTGTGCACAACATCGCCCTCTATTGTCTGTTTCTGGAACAGTGCACCGGGAGGAAGGTTTGATGGATCTATAAATGGAGGAAACATTCTATGTTTAGAAGAACATATCATAACACTGATCATTATGTACAAGCTTCACAAAAACTATCTATCTATATCTATCTACGTAATATACATACATGTATAAGCTATGAAACAAAATTGCTAGATGTTAAACATATCAATATCTGCTTCAAGATACATCTAGTGTTTCACTAAAAAAAAAAAGGATATATAAATTATAATAATATGGAAATGGTGAAAGTTAAACTTTTTCTGCATAATCTTAAATGAATTTGGATGATATAAATTTACTTTCGATCATTTTTAGACAATACATATTTCACATTTTATCTTGCTCACTTCTGTCACTTCTTTTCAAACAATTCTTTCTTATTTTTTGAAATTCAACTGCACACCTTTATAATTTCAAGCTTGTGTTCTTTAAAATGAATAACAAATTCAGTTTTGTAAATTGTGAGTAATTTAATCTTATGAATTTACTAGACATGGTGAACATAGATCAAATGGCATGCAAGGCAGTATGACACATATTATAATGAATCTTTTTTTATGAACATGCATGTGGATGGAGGGGCATCGTTAAAGCAGGCATAATCAGAATTCCTTCTAATATAACATGAATAATATGGGTGTAAAAACATGGAATGACTGTTCCCAATGTGTTAATATTCTTATGACATTCATGAAGATGGATTTTCATTCTTATGATTGTTAAAGTAATGCGAAGATGAGAGGTTTAGGGATGAACTGATTACCGGTAGAAGTTATTTCTTTAATGCGACCAAATACAAATACAAATGCAAACAGATAGATAACAATGGTAGAAATAATGTACACAAAGTTAAAGAAACTATCAAGTCTGACACATTAAAACCCCTCTGCACTAGTTTGGCATGGAGGGATTAGACCTCCCTACGAGGTCACTGGCAGGTGGTTGTCTCATCAAATCAGCTCTCAATTCACATAAGAAGAAGGGCATCATGGGGGATCAACGGGATCAACAGGTACCGATTAGGCATTGTTTACTATATAGAGGGCGCAAGTAGCTATAAGTAGTGCAGTGGGGCTTTAATACACAGAATCAGAAGCTAGCATTATGTGCATAAATTGTGATGAGGTATACTGACATTGCTTTATATGCAGGGCTCCACACTAACTTATTAGGGACACAAATGCAATGGGCCCCTTCTAACATTTTAACATTCTAAGAGTTCTTTTTATATTATTTGTTATAGGAGGGTGTGAGGTGGGGGGGGGCAATAGGTAGCATATATATTAAATAAGTGACTAGTCATTTGGGAGTTACTACAAGACCTCTAGCTACGTACAGAAAAATGACAGGTAAAAACCCTAATGAGGTAATATGAACATTTCTAAAATACAGGGAATATGAACATGGACACAGAATGTCACACAAACATTATGGCCCGAATTCACAAAGGAGGTTTGTCGACAAACCTAGGTCTATGTGCGTCATATGACGCGTTTCGGTACGTTTCAGACCAAGGTTCAGACAAACCTTGGTCTGAAATGCATTATATGACGCACATAAACCTAGGTTTGGCTACCAACCTCCTTTGTGAATTCGGGTCTATGTCTACAGTCTAAAAAAAACTTTCTTTTTCTATCTACAGACACTTCAACTTTCCTACATGGAAAACAAAAACAAAACACCTGCAGCAATAAATGAAACTACATGTATCTACTTTTAGTGGAAAGTTGTAAGAATCATTATTTGGTGTGTGTGCAATTACAAATATAAAAACAAAAGTGGCAGAAATTGCTTTGCTTTAAGCTTTGCTAATCTTTTTCTTCTTTAATGCCACATGGACAGACATTTCAACATTCAACGTCTCACCAAGGATGATCGTGGAATTGCCATTGGTCGACGTAGACAGGGCGGGGCCTGGCTGTTGACCCCATGTCAACAAATCTACGCCCCCATAGGCAACCATTACCGGTATCAAGTTGGTTATAATTGGCATATGATAGTTGGTGGTGTAAATGAAGGGAAATTAGAGATGCACAAATGAGAAAGATGGAAGAAGGATGGAATTATTAGGAGTTAATATTGATATTTCATCAAATGCACTGGATTAAATATACAGGATTATTAAAAATTACAAAAACAAAGAATATAATATATATTTAAGTATGAAAGGTAATTACAAGTCAGTTCAGGCAAGTATGCATTGGTTCTCAGACAGCTATACAGAATGCTCTTTCCAAGAAAGAAGTCATACATGTACATCTATGCAAATTAATATCATCTACAAATATGCAATCTAAAGTTAATCTATATCTGAAATGCATTTGTTATATATATATATATATTATATATTATGTTTTATTGCATGCTTTTTAATTTGAAATGCTCTCCAAATCATCATTTTGTAATTACTGCAATTTGACAATTTCGGCTAATAATCAAAGGCATGTACCTTGTATGACGAAGGAAAATATATTCACAGGGGGCCACTTCTTCTTTTAGAGATTTAGAAACAGATTCAAAGGTGTTTTTGTCCCATAACAATGCCATTTCATGCCATTTCATTGTCTTGACTCCTTTTTTTTTATCTACATTTCAATCATTATTTTCCCTAATTTTGCAACCCACAGACAATTTTGAATGCATGACTTTAATACGCGTGATATCAATCCAGTGAATAGCATAAACATCTCCCATGCAACACACAATGAAGTCATGCCATTTTTTTTTAAATTTGAGATTCCGACATTTGTGAAGAATTTCTAACCACTATTACCCCCCCCCCCCCCACAGTAATAGTAATATATATGTATGTACTTGTATATCTTCAAATTTGAATCTTATGAACAATTTACATTGAATGTCGCCCAATTCAATAGATTTTTATATTTGTTCCTGCACCTATATGTATAAAGAGTTACCCGGTACTTGATCTAAAAGCCACAGATATTATTAATGCATTTAAAAGTATTCAAGTGTTACTTTTACTACATGTATCTATTCAAATAATATTGAGCATCTGTCTATGCATTTTAGCAGAACCTTTACCTTTTGTATATAATTCAAATTGTTAACCTTTTTTTTCCTTACGAAGCTACTTTTGCATTATCTATGTTTTGTGCCACTATTTATATGCAACAGTCCATTGACCTCTTTTTAAAAGTTCTTTCTTTTCCAACTTCTCCTATTAACCTTTTCTCCATCCCTTTCTTTGATTTGAAATCTGGGGGGCGTTGTTATGAGTTATGAGCTACTGAAATCCTTGCTTCTGATTGGTTATCAGCAGGTTTGTCACTGATTTTTGTCATTTGTCATTGAAAAAAAAGGCTTTGTGAAACACCCCCAGACCTACCCCCAGACCTTACTATCCTCCTACATTTCTCTATTCTTCTTTTACTGTCCTATTCTTCATGCTCTCAATGCAAAGCAGCCAACTGTATAAAAAGGTTGAACAGGGGGGTGTCTCACAAAGACTAAGATCAACTTCAAGTTGGACTTAACTATGGCAGGCCATTCATGCCACTGGTCACTCTCTCCATTGGTCTCTCAATTATGATCTTTAGATAATATTTTTTCCTTCAATGATAAACTTTCAAAAAATGTAAATTCTCTAGATTTGTGACCTTGATTGGTACGTTCCTTGAGAAACCAATGCCAGTAAATGATAAGAAAAAATAGTGGCATGAACAGCCTGCCATACTTAAGTCCAACTTAAAGTTGATCTTAGTTTTTGTGAAAACACTCCCCAGCTGTCTGGTAGGCATTCCCAGACATACCTTCCACCAGCAGTTTATTAATGCCTACTAAAGGAGAGTATTAAACTACTGTGCGCTCAAGAAGGAGGGAGGGAGCTCACCTGATTGAATAGCACCTGGTGATCCAGACAACACAGCACTGGCTGGTAAGAAGCCATACCCATTGGACATTCCTTCAACCGGCACTGGCCCCCCTGGTTGATAAGGCACTGCCCCAGCGGGGCTCACAGGCACAGCTCTTGAGACTGGAGGGCGGGGAGAGGCAGGCCCCTCCCCAGCAAACTGAGGTGGTGGAGGGGGGTGGGGTTGTTGGCTTGGGGAGCGGGGTGAAACATACCCAGGGGAGAGTATGTGGGAGGGGTCTGGGAGGGTGTCTACAGCCATGGGTTGTGTGTACTGCGGTTGGTTGGATTGAGGGGTGATTGGGTGAGGGGAGGTAACCCCCTGATTGGAAGGGCTCCATGTATGAGCAGCAGGTGATGAGTAGGTCTGTGTGAGAGAAGAAAATACATTTATTAGAGCTGGAAGATGAATCTGAAACCCTTTTGTGAACTAAAACATCACAGAAGGCCTAAAATCCTTTGGTAAACAATAATCTGTCTTAACGTATCATGGATCTAAAACGCACAAGACAGCAGCAAAACAGAAATTGTATACAGGTGAGCAGCGAGCAATCTGGCTCTGGAGAGCTCTTTCAAAAATTTGGGAAACCTAAAAATGAGCTTTGGTAAAAACAAAATTGTTTTATTTTTTTATATGAGCAAGGCTTTAAAGGAATTCGGTAACTTTGTCTTTAACAAGCCGATCGATCGCCTGTCTGATTATCAAGATATTTATGATTGAAAATCGAAATCAAAGTTTTCATAACACTACAGTCTATTGGGGAAAACGAGTATGGTAAAACCAGTCACTCAAAGGTTTTTACTTTTTTGAGGCACTTCTTGATCATTTTGAAGCGCAATTTTTTTTTAGGGCTTCAATATTACACCATATCACAGACACTGATAACACGTAGGGCCGTGCATCTCAGATTTAACATTGTTAAACGATCCCTTTAAGTGTTCAAATCATGCTCCTACCGGTGGATTGACAGAGCTGATCTTAGGCCTGTTGGTGAGGTCTAGTTTGACCGGCTTGAATTCTTTCTTGACCGATGGGCCACCACCCGGTGTCCAGACAGGAGCAATGCCTTCATCCTTCCTCAGCGGGGGCGGAGGCGGGGCCATCTGATCAGGAACTCGGTCAACCGACACCCCACCTTCGGAGGGCGGCCATATACCTTGAAAGCGAAAGTGTAATTATCAAAACAAAAATCATTAAAAATGTTCTATACAAAAATGATGCACTGGATTAAGAAAGCGGATTACGAAAGCGGATTAGAAGTCACCTGTTGAAAGCCAGAAGGGCATTATAGTCCCATCACTCAGCATTGAAAAGTTATTGCCCTTTTGGCTTATAACAGATGAAATATGCAATCGGATTCACAAAGACCTAATTTTTCTATACCAGCCATACACAAGATCATATGCACTGGGACCAAAGTGCTTTTTAGTCTGCATGCATGCACAGGCTTTGGTAATTTCATATAACTTCAAACATGCATATTTGCACTGTAGAACAAAAATATGTTAACAATTAAAAATAAATTGTAATAATGTAACCAATATCCTTCATTCTCATCCGACGCTTGCATTTTTGAAGTACAGAATTTCTCTAAAGAGAATCATAAGGTAGGTTTCTCTATCATTTTTGAAAGCCTACGCATCGAGGTCTTATTAGTCTGTACAAACAGCTCATGCCTTGAAAAAATAAATTGTGTAGATTTTGTGTAAGGCAGGTAACAGGTAATACAACTTCAATGGTGCTCACTTCAAAATGTCCAGGTGTTATCTCACAGGTATATGGAATCACAATAACCCATTAACTACCAGAACAGGTCTTTCATGTACAAAGCTTATGGGAATTAATCAAATCAGTAGCCAATTGCTTAATTCAAGTAATTTCTCTTGTCTTAGTTTGTATCGATCCACCACAAAGGCAAATACACCCACCCCTTGCATTTAAAAACTTCTTATTTGATGTAAATGTTTTGTTTTATATATTTGAAGTGCAAACATTCAAATACACACAAAGTGAAAATAATAAAGAACTGGGAAGCATCATAAGTCCTCATTAACAAAACTAGGTTACCTATTTTGCTGATATACTTTCTCATTCTTTCTATTTTTCTTGTGCGCCTTGGAATAGCATTGTCTAGATAGACGGCGCTATACAAATGCCTATTATTATTATTATTATTATTATTATATAACCTGAAAAAAATGTACATTTACTTTAATGTGACACCCCAATAATCTTCTCCACAACTGAATATATATTTAAATGTATGTGAATAAATATCTGATTCCAGACATGCATGAGAATATAAACAAAAAATGAAGGTTTCATCAAGTAAATATAGGACAAAAAAAACACTTCATGTTTGTGATTATAGATGTGAAAGACTCATGAAGTACTATATAGGCATGGTTGATGATACTGTGTTATTGAGGATAGCTGTGTAGTTACAACAAGACTTGGCATTCTGAATATGAATCTCGGCAATCTTCGAAAAATTTAGAGTAGCCTTGGATTGAAAATATCTTGTTCAGGGAATATGTATGATATACATGTGAAACGTGCATGAAATTTGGAATAACATAAAATATTTCCCAATACATGTACAAGCTGATTTATTTGATATTCGAAGGTATTTTGCAGAGTGGGTTATATCCCATCTTAGCTAACGGCAGTCTGTTGCAATTCATAGAATCAATTGAAGAATTACCTCCAGTCTTTAACAAAGACAATACTTTTGTGTTTTCCATCTACAACTACATGTAGTCAATCATTCAAATTGTCATCTTTTGCTCTTCCCTATAATCTAAAAATGTCACTTCAGAAAGAAAACAAAAATGCAATTTAAACAAAAAACTCTTCATCCACTGATTTCAATTTTTACTTAGAATGGTGGTTTTCAGGAAGCTCATGTTACAAATAACTGATTTAACCATTAGCATGTTTCTTTACAGAGCAGAAATTATCAACTTTTTGCACATTTTAAAACAATTTGAAGGGAATTGTTTTATAAACAAAAATAATTGGCCAAGTATGCTGGATAATATTTAGTTACAGGATTGTTTAGTGAATAAACACATTATGAAAATCAATAACCATGTATGGAGAAGCATAACTATCAATAGTCATAGAAATGTGTATTTTCTCAGTTTCCTTTACCGCTGAAATGTTTTAATCCATTTGATTGTCTCTCTCTCCCCTGTCTTTCATACAATACCTTATTTTTGTTCTACTTCTATGAAAGTTAATTTGACTGTTAATACAACCTGGTGGGTGTTTCATAAAGCTGTTCGTAAAGTTACGCATGACTTTACCAACGACAAGTTTTTTTCTGATATTTCCAATAACCTCAATTAAATTATGGCAAAAAATATACTTTGCATTAAAAATGTTTGTTATAACAGAAATGTTAATCTACATCTGCACAGTTCAACTTTAGTTGATGCAGTTAATAATGATTGAGCATCCCATTTGGCTTTTCATATACAAGTCGTTCGTAAAGTCATTCGTAACTTTACGAACAGCTTTATGAAACACCTCCTTGACTATATAGTATGTTCATTTGGACAGCATTAGAATGATAGCGAGATATCGACGGCCATGCATGAATCATCAATCGCGTACGTACGTTCGTTCGCCATGCTTTGATTGGAGGATGGAGTTGAGGGGGTATGGAGGAGGAGGAGGATTATCACGGCAGGCAGGCAACCAACCAACGCTGGGCAGGAGGGTTTAGGAGGATGAGGATTGTCATCTCATATCATAACATTGAAAACGTATCATACCAGCTTGAGATGGCTTTGCTTCGTACTCCTCTTCAGGAGCATTGTGTTTGAACGGCTTGAAACCAAATTTTCGCGGCGGGGGAATAACCTTGCGGTTGGGGGCTTCCGGACGACTCTGTTGCCGCGGTGATAGAGGAGGCGGTGGTGGTGATAGAGGAGGCGGAGGTATTACTGGCGGTGCCTCAGTTGCCTGTGGCTTGGGCATGGGTGCTGCCACGGGCCTGTGGGCCTTGGGCTTAGGCTTAGGCGGAGGGGGTGGAGGGGGGCCCCATTCCTTACTTTCATCAGGAGGGGGAGGCGGTGGCCAGAATTCATCTTCATCTTTGCGTTGGTTGTTGTTGTTGGTGGGGATATCCATCACAGAAGGCGGCGGAACTCCTAGCCAATGAAAGTGGGTGGTGGGAGAAACATAGGACGAAAATGAGCAGAATTACAATGAAAACAAGAAGAAGAAAAAATTAAAGACATTTTCGTTTCTGCTACCAAGTTTAATAACAATGAATGAATCAAAAGATTTTCTGCTAACAAGTGTTTAAACAATGACATGAATCCAAAGATTTAAATCCTAGGTTTCATATGTCAATCAATCAATAAGGAGCAACCTTATAGGTGCAAACGTGTTTCCTTGCAATGAATTTATTCATATCATATCATCATGGTAAATTATTTAATGAAGTAAAATATGCACCATACATTACCCAAAAAATATAAAATAAAAAGGATTGTTATAACAAGGGAATACAAAAAAAATTAATGTATTCTATCATGCAAATGCATCACTTCCTCATACTAAGATTTAATACAACATGCATGATATACCAATGAACACTCAGTCCATGCATATGTACATGCATAAATAATGAAGTACTAATGCATACATATATGCAATAAATAAAGAAATCATATATGACGTAAAGTTAGTAGTTCTGTATTAAAACCGAATACGTTTGCATGTCATTATACTAGACAAAAAGACAATACACACAAACAAACAAACAAACCATTCCTAAAGAACAAATCATGCAAGATAACTATCATTAGTATATAAAAAAGACATATCATGAAATATGAAACATTATAGCCAAAGAAAAAAAAAAAGTCAGGCAAGAAATAAACATTGACGTGGAGGTCTATTCCTCTGAGAAAAAAGATGAAAGCCCACCACCTTTGGAGTAAAATATAGATTAACGGTTGCATATTTGTTACTGACCTCACATCAGTTAATATCACCCAGTATGGAATGTTCAGAAATTTGGTCACAAAAATGCACTCAGATTTATAAGGCAAAAAAATAAACCGTGATTGAATTTTGAAATTTGTTAGGATACAATCTGCTGCCAAGTTTGAAATTCAAATTGCTCTAACAATCTAAAGTATGGATAGAATTTTACAGTACCATCTGTTTTCCTTTAGCATTGTAGCATTGTAAGTTTAAAGAAAGTCAGAGAGGGAGATTGTGCTTCTGGGTTTTGAGTAATACTTACAGCAGATATGTATTAGAAAGTATCCTTTACTTAGAAGTTGTACTCTGTCATTTTAATTATTGCCCCAATTTACGAAAATAAATTGAGGTAACAATGCATGGTGTTCTTGCAAAGGCCTATTTCTGAACTTTCCAATTTATATCATCTAATGGGAACCAAAAGTGCATTAAATAGCCGTTTTAAATGTGCAATGCCTTTTTGGTTCTCAGAGATGGTGTATCTTTATAGCAAGCAATTAATACAGACTATATTATGTTGCTGAGCTTAAGATCTTCTTGGCTAGATAAATGATGAGTATAGGAAGGTTACAATGGCTAGAAGGCATTTTAATATGTCTCCATGATAGCTGATAAAGACATGGATATTTGGGATATAAAGGTACCTCCTTGTTCACGTTCTTCTTGCATCTTCTTTCTTCGTTCAAAGAGGGCAGCACCACGTGACTTGGGCAGAAAGCCCGTCGTCATGTCAGTAAGAACCCATCCTGTTATCATGCAAAGTAGATTCAGTTTGATGCAAGAGAGACTGATATCACTTTTGCAAAAGGGGTGCTTTTATGAGGTATAAATCTATTAAAGCATTCCTCATATAATCTTCAAGACATATTATGCATCAAATCACTTAGAGCAAATGAATAATCCCTGAAACACTGAAGATTGATAATGTTAATAGTGCAGTACTACAATGCTAAAAACCATTTGGAAAATACATCCATGTCTCTTGCCTTGCCTTGTGTATGGACATCTATCACAACATGTTTTGTAAGACTTTTTTCTTTCTCTTTATACAGGGGTGTGAAGGGGGAGGGAAGGGGGAGGGTAGGGGTGGGAAAAGGATGGCAAGGGGAGGGGAAGGGGATGGCAAGGGGAGGGAAGGGGAGGGAGGGGGAAGGGAAGGGGAAGGGGAAGGGGAGGGGAGGGGGAAGGGGAGGGGAAGGGAAAGGGGAAGGGGAAGGGGAAGGGGAAGGGCTGACTGAAGAACAAAATCTGAAGTAGCTATATTGCAATGGCAATGTTTAGCATAAACCAATATTTGTTTAATGCTAAAGTTTTGTAACATTTACTAGCATGCCCGAATAGAAGTATATTTATTATCCGTCATTAAGAAAAATATCTTTCTATTCTACACTACTCAAAGCAAGATCTGTTTATAATACTTTGACAAATGCTCTCTGATTGCTCACTGATTGCCCGCTCCCTTGCGGTCAAAAGATGACCTTTAAAGCAGAAAGAGGAAATTAGATAGAATGGATCGAGCAAATAACAAATGTTGAGTGCAGCAATGGAAAGAGAAGATTTTTAAAGGAATAATAGACTTAAAAATCACAAAGAGAGTGCGATAGTTTAGTAAACATTGCAGAATTGAGAAGTGCACTGCACATTTACAGAAATGTTACCTATATTGCACTCTGAAAAACATACAATAGTTGCACTGAAAAAATACCCATGAACTCTCTGCAAGAACATGGTAACCAGTAAAATGTTTATTCTTCAAAATAAAAAGAGCAAAGAGATAGAAAGATAGAGTTGAAAACAGGTGCATAGAGCATAGTTTGGGTGAGAATGACCAAAAAGAGAAAAGAGAAAGAGGAAAGAAAAAGCAAAAGAATAGTGCAGTACAAGTAAAATCATACAGAAAGAAATTCAAAACCATACAAAGGACAATATAAACCAGAAATATGATCAGTAAAATAAGTTGGAGTTCCTTGCAAAAGGAAATAAAAGCACAAGGTAGCACAAGGTAGGTGCAGAAAACAAAACATATAGCAACATAATAAAGTACTATCCAGTTCGAAAACAGCAAGCATTTCATCATATTCAAAATTCATCAACCATGCACAAAATGCAGTCAACCTTTCATAATCAATTGCATTTCAATAACAATAGATATATGAGAGAAAATATAACTTTGAAAGGAGAGTGCCAACATTTTGCAAAGGAGGAAAAGCTGGAGAACACAAGTTGCAACGATTTAGTTGACATCCTACCTTTTTGCTTTGATGGACTCATTTGAAACCCATTGGTTGGACTCATAGGAGGGGATGTTGGTGAACCTGAAAAAAAGAAAGAAAGAATGAAATGTTTGTCTTTAAGATAACTTGAACAAATTGATTTCAGTTTATCACTTTGTTGTGTGGCTGGCAGAAGGGCAGCAGAAGGGCAGCAGAAGCACCAAAGGCCCTGTAACTTGGAAAATATAGACTTATTTGATACCACACTCCACCTTCTTTTTTCTATTAGTCGATGGAGAGGGAAATCGCTGTGATGTTAAAAAACGGCACACGGTGTAAAGAGCTGTCAAAACCTTAGAAGCGAGTTAAACATTTGCTTTGTGGCACAAAAGTGCACGCAAATAACCATCTGCCAGTGGCATGTTGAATTGTAACTAGCTGTCAGGAGTATATATGAAGATGTCAGAGATACTTTACAACATGTTTTCATAGCATATATGATTGAAATGAGCAGTATAATCTTTTAAAGAACCTGATAAGAAAGAAAAGATAGTATTCTTTAGTTACATGAAAGTATATGAAAGTCTGAGCTACTTTCTACATTAGATGTGAAGTTAGTATTTGATTCAACTATTAATTCCTACTTAATGGAATAAATGGCAAGGCAACATACCATCTAATGGATAAACCCTCTTCAAATGAACTGTCTGCCTCCACATAAAATAATGTTGTACAATACATATTTACGATGAATCTACATCTATATTTCTAAACTAGTAACATACACTGTAAATAGAGGATGAACAAAGACAGTTTCTACAGGAGTAACATGACGCATGTGAAAATGCTTGTTTTGTTTTTCTTCAATTTTTCGTTCTAATCATTAGCAAGGGCAATGATTATTATCATTTAACAAACAGTGCAATCATTAAACAATTATTTGTCTAAACTACAACTAAGAGGAATGTACATTTAGACCAATGTAAAGCACCTCTAATGGTCTTTTGAGAGTGTAGTACGGTACATTTGCAAGAACCAAGTAAAACATTGTTTGTCTACCGGTAGTCCTTTTTAAGTTTCTAAGAAAAACAAAGTTATGGTTATGCAAGTTTTTTGCTATTTTTTCCAAGATGGCTGCCATGCTAATTATAGCTGGCCAAGCCTGTCTATTCACAGATATTGTGGTATGTGAGTATACTGATGCAATGTATGACAAAACAAATGATTGGTATCACTTTAGAAGCTATTTAAACAAAATGAATATCACAGGCTTTTTTTTTCATGAACAGTAAATAGGGGGGGGAAAAGGAGGCGGTGGCCAAAAAGGAGGCGGGCGGGGACGACAAACACTTCACTTTTGTTATTGGGCCTTACCATTACTTGCTGCAAATAAACTCAAATCCCCACAGGCTTATTGCCTAAAAAAGAACAACATATGACTTGCCCCTTTAAGACTCTCTTGTATGTGTTGTACACGTGACAAGAGCTGCATAAAATATGAAAAATTACAAGTTAGAGCCTCGAGGAGCCCCTTTAATGATCTTTTGAGTGTGTGCTGCACATGGCAGGCAGGAGCTATGTAAAACATGATTGGTATGTAGTCAGTCTGTACAAAGATGACATTGAAAGCTAGGAGGAGGTGTAGGGTCAGAGATAACAAATCAAGAAGAAAATCATGCCACTTCACGGCTCATCTGTGCTATCAACTACACCATAGATTCACTCACTTTTTACTTAGACATGTCAACATGCTGGGGCCCGTTTCACAAAACTTTTCGTCAGTGACAAATGACAGTTTTTGTTATAAGCTACTGAAATCCTTGATTCTGATTGGTTATCAGCAGATTTGTCACTGATTTTTGTCCTTTGTTATTGCAAAAAGGATTTGTGAAACGGGTCTCAGGTCTATTTATTATTCCTTTGCAAGGTACACGATTTCTACTAATCTACATGTATTGAATGCCTGGTGTGTGGTAGAAGGAATATTGGAAACAACAAAATGACAGTGATTAAATATTTGCTCCAGACCATGTGTTACATAATCATTATCTATCTTTGAGAAACATTGTAGACCGTGTTCAAGAGTGCAATTTTGAGTTTAATTTTCGATTGGAAAATACTTAATTCATAATTCATTCAAGGAACTACATCTGAGAGGCCTCTTGTTTCATATCTTATGAAGATTAACATTTTTTAGTGGTGTTTATTTTACCTGTCTGCTGAGAAGTCATAAAAGCTTGTTGGTAAGCAACCAGAAAACCGACGGCTTCAGACATTAACAAAGCTCATTTACCATAAATATTCTTAACTAGAACTAACAATGAGTTTGTAATTAGAATAACTGAGATTGTTTGTTCGTTCGTGTCTCCTTAGATCAAGATTAATGTATCTTGATCTTCGGAGTAGTTGCTACAACTGGCCGTGTCAGACACGTTACCCCGGGGTGCGAGATAGGACTCTTGTAGCATGCCCCCATTTAAAATAATTATACAATAACAATAGCAATACTTGTAACAGAATACTTATCATTTTGGCCTACTATAAAAGAAAATGTATGTGTTTAAAAAAAAAGCAAAAATATACACAGTGGAATACCATTCTGCCATAAGTCAGATATTTGCTTTGTATATAATTTATGAAGACAATTAACTGAGTAAATTCAGTGGTTTGATGATGATGTTTGATGTTAACCCGACTGCTAAGAAAGCATGTATATGCTTGTAAGTAAACAACCAGGAGACAGATGGCTTTAAGTCCTCTCCTTTCTGAGGGACTTGGTGATGAGGATTAATGCAGAGCACATCAACTTGGTTTTGAACCCAAGACCACCCGGTTACAAGACTACTGCTCTACCACTGAGCCATCACACATCTTAATTTATCAACTCATTCACAGAATTTTCTTTTAAATCATCCTGACCAAAACTGCATTTTCTGCTTGTAATATAAAGTTCACAAGTTAGAAACAAAGTGAAAAGTAATAGGATCTTCACTGAAGAATTGCACATCTAAAAAATAAATAATATCCTTGTGTATGCTCAAAATTTTCAGTGACACACAAATCATTGTTCACTATTTTCATTGTTCATTAACAATTAGTTTTTTTATATAAAATATACCACGCTCCAATGACTGCATATCAACAACTTGACTGACTGGATAATGCTTGAGTGATCTAAGTACAATAATTACAGTTGATTAGATTAAAGATAACCAAATGCACCACAGTCCAGAGAAAATTATGCAATTATGCAACACAAATCTGAATCACGAGCTACAAATACATGTGCTCTTAATTTTCTCAGATGATTTTAACCTTGAACTGAATTTTCCTCTTTTTCTTTGGATAAAAAATAATTGTGGAGTTACAAAAAATTGAAAGTCTACTATTGTATGTTGAGAGCAAAAATTTGCATTAAATACTGTAAAAGTATATATTGGTTACACCCTTGAGGTTCTTAACAGATGCTGTGTTTTTGAATGGCAAAAGGGATGTGAGAGAGTGAAGGGGTTATGAGAGAGACAGAAAAGAGAGAGAGAGCCTGACATGATAAAACTAAAATAGACAAGACTAAAATAGAAGATGACACTCTTCATGATGTGGTAGGAAAGCAATGCAAGGATTACCATGTAGAAGCCAAAACCCAACACTGAAAGGGAAATCACAGCGGTGAAGCGCGGCAGTTGTCTCGCTGGTCCCACGTGAGATAATGTTTCAATCGTCAGCGGTAAGTTGTTCAGCTTCATGGTGTACCAAATTAACTTGACATTTAGCCTATAGCTTAGAGACACTGGAGCTAAGAAAAACATATCACTATCTCTTCAGGTAGAGAGATACCAGTCGAAGATCACCCTGATAGAGAGAGTAGGCCTGTCTTCATCAGCTCCAGATTGCCAAATAGCCCGCTACAGTATTTCTGATTTGGGAAATAATCCTGAAGTTACAAATTGCGTCTTCATCAGCACGAGACTTGACCTCGAAACTTGAAACTTGATCTTGAGAAATTATCTCGAGAGATTTTGGTCATCGTCCACGCATAGTGCGAGTCTTCAGGCTGGTGAAGACGCACCGGACAAATAGCGGGATATTTTGCAAACTAGCCCAAGATATCTTGGGATGATTATCTCGACCAAATATCCCGCTATATAATTGCAACGTAGGGTTGATGAAAACTCAAATTAATTGGATAGTTTGCGATCAGGATAGTTCAAATAGAGGGATATTTGGCAATCTCTAGCTGATGATGACAAACCTAGTGAGAGTCAGGAGGAGGGGTAGCGTCCAGAGTGCTGATTGCTCAATCACACAGTATGATTAAACTGATTAAATCACAATTGGTATATCAAGAGGTAGATAATGAGTTGAGCAGTTGATAGACCTAGTTTAGAAGTTTTAAAGGCTTAGTTCAAAAACCTTTTTTTTAATAATTAAAATAGCACTCTATATTGTCTTTGAATCCTCAAAGCCAAAAAGGCATAAATCCACATGTACCTCCTGATGCCCTTCAGCTGAAAATCAGAGATTTATACATTGTAAATCAATGATGTTTACATTTACACTAAGCGTAACATACTGCCTCATACATGTTAAGTCTGGAACTAATATTGAGCTCTGCAAAACATTTATGTAACAACAGTATGTTAGATAATTAGATCATACACACCATCTGATTTGTATATGATTTGTAATAATAAACAAAACTTTGCCTTTAACACCATTCCAAATGTGCTTCACACAAGTCAAAAATATTCATACTGTTCATACTCATGACTCGATAGAAATATCATAAAGTCTTTCGCCGTTCAAATATTTAATAACATTAATGTAGAGTTAGTAAATTGATTTCTCAACTCACAGACATTACACACTTAGAACATGCATGCCACCTGAGTGCATTAAACCTTGTCTTTAAAGGGATCCGGTAAATTTGCCTCAGATTCTGAAACAAAATCCTGGATTTGGCTTCAACATTACACCATATCACAGACACTGATAACACGTAGGGCCATGCATCTCAGATTTAAAATTGTTAAACGATGCCTTTAACATGATTCCAAATGTATATAACACCAGCAAAACATTCATGCAGTCCCACTCATACA